TAGAGAGGGGTTCTAGTAATTCTCCTCACAGACATTGGTTGTTGGTGGCAGTGGAGTCTGCACTCGTCCAAGGCAACATGGCAGGGATACAGTTTTATATTTAATAGTTGTCGGTGTAGATGTTAGCGTGTGACAAACATTGACTCAGCAGTGTCCAAATGTGGACATTTAGAGCAAGGCCTCACAGACCCTTCTGGAAGTGCTTCAAACTTCTTTCCAAGCCCAGTTGTTTTTTGTTTGCTTGTTTTGTGACCTTTCCATGTTGGGCCTAGTTGGGTCACCTCTTAGTGCTATTCTCTGGGGACTTAAGTCTCTTTTTATCTTTTTTTCATATCACCTTTTCTTGTGTTCCTTCTCCTGTTCTCTGTAGGGTGAATGGGCAGATTAAAACAGATTTCAGTTGGATTAATTAGAATAATTTCCTCAAGCCTAATTGCTTGCTTGCTTGCTGCTACTTTTAATCACTATTGCATGGTCTGTGGTTGTGGTGGTCACATGCCTAGAGACCTAGGCCTTAGCCACCTGCCTGGAAATGACTGTTACCATCCAACCATGGCACATGCAGAGGTGAGCAAAGCCTGTGACTTCCAGGTAATAACTGATATCGGGTGGAGTGGGCACCCCTGTCCGTTCTGGGCCAAGGGCTGATGTTGTTCAGCTGTTTGAAAGCAGAATTTAGCTTTCTGGCTTAAAATAGTTGGGAAAGTAGGGCAGATAGGTCCTGGGCCACATCTCTTGTGTGCGATCTTCTGATTCCACAGGAGGGGGAGGAACCTTAGGATGAAGTCAGGGCTGTGCATTCCCAGGAGGACCCCTGGGCCAGGGGGGTTGACTGGCCTTCGTTCTGCCAAGCCTAACAAGAAGGCAGAAGGCAGCAAAGGAAAGGAAGCTAGCAGGTGAACCATGGGCTTAATCATGAAACTCAGAGCAAGCATAAAGTAAATAGGCCATAAAAATTTCAGGGCTAGCTGGCCATTTTCTGGCGTGGGCAATCAGTGTGCATCCATCGCTGTGGTATGGTGCTAGCTGTCTGGGGGCATGGGCTCATCTTTGGAGATTTCTTCTTTGGGGATGGTGGGTATGTGAATGTCATTTGTTGAGGCCAGTGCGGCCCTCAGGGCAGATTGGATCTTGTGATCAGAAAACGCAGATGGGCTTTTCTCTCTACTCCTCATTACCTACTTCCTCCCCCCCAACCAAAAAACCAAAAATCAGTATAGCATAGATACTGAAATCAGAGTTGGATTTAGAGTTCCAGTGTCCCCACTTTAGCTGTTTGACGTTTGGTAAGTTTCTTAACCTCTCTGGGCCTTAGTTTTCCTCTGCAAAATGGGGCTGTTGATGCCATAGAGTTGTTACCGAAGATTGAATTTCTTCCTACATTATTGAATGCTTGAAGTTTAGGTAAAGTGTCTCTGGAGACAAGATGCTTTCAGTGCTCAGGTACTATCTATTTATACCTTGATGTGTAGAGAATTGGGATCTGAAGCAGGCCAACCTTCCTTATGTATCAGAAAGTCCTAGGACTTCTCATAAAGTTAGGTCATATGTCTTTTTAGAAGTTTGGGTCTGGTTATAATGAGTGTGAGCTCATAATCCCACCCTTGTGCCCATATGGCTGGCATGCTGTCCCCAAAAACCTAAGTTTCTTAGTCCTGCAGGCCTATCAGTGGCATGACCTCTGGGGGCTGCCCAGAGCAGGTAGCTGTAGTTGGAGGGAGGCAGTCACTAGGCAGTCCTGGTGATGTTGGCCAGTCCCTCCATCTCTGGTTCTGTTCTGTCCTGGGCAGGGCACAGAGTAGATGGGCATTGGTGGCCATCTTGGAAATGTGCCTTAACAACCAAAACTTAACAGTCTCCAAAACTGTCTCCTAGAAGAGAGGTGTACAGTCCTGCACAGTACCTTAGAGTTTTTCAGACTCCTCATTTAACCTCCATCTAATCTTCTAAGGAAGGATCTCCTGTGAGATCTGTTTTTTAGATGTAGAAACTGAGAATAGTTGAGCTTAACATACATTTTATTTAGGGACAACTGAGTGCAGAGATAAATAAGACCTTTGCAGCGCTTTGTCTCGTAGAGAAAACACAATTTCCATGAGGCCAAACATAGTAGAGGGGTGTAGGTGGATGGTGTGGGGGGAACTCAGTCTGGGAGATTTGAGGAAAGCTTCCTGGGGCGGGGGATGGGGGCGACTCTCAAGAGTTCCTGTAAGGCATAGTGCTAGTGGGTGGCAGAGCCAGGTTCTGTCACTCTTGATGCTTGTGGCATGTGGTCACTGCTACGTGGGGTGGGGAGATCTTGAAAGGGCTCAGGAGGGAGCAGGAGGCTGACCAGCATGAAGTATTTCCTCTTCTCCCTTCCCTGTGAAAACAAAAGAGCAGGAGGCACTGGAACTTTTCTTCATGCCAAGGGTAGGGCTGGACCCAGAGCATATTAAGTTTCAAGCTGGCAGATTGGGACTTTCAGACAGTTTCTCTTGTAGGTTCCTTAGCAGTGAATAATCTTCTGTGGTCTTTGTTGGACATTTTCTGCTGAAGTTTAACCAGAAGAGCTTCTCTTGGCCAGGACTTAGAGCCTCCTGCTCCTAGAGGAGCCTGAGGTGCTGAGGATGGGTCAGTGGGCTATGTCACAGCTGCCAGGAAGTTCTAGAAGACCGGTGCTAATGAGCCATTCAGGTGCGTTCAGTGCCCTGGTCGTTTCTGGGGGCCTGTATAGTCCTCCTTCCATACTAGTTCCTCTGAGGCCTGAACTCAGTGGCAGAATTCTGGCATGGCTTATTCTTCATCCTGGAGCCCTTTGGGAGGTTGGGGCAGTTAAGGTGTGACAAACGTCTGGCTTTGCTCCTTTTGCATTAAGGGAAATGGTTCTTTGTTGAAGATGGGAGGTGAGGACCCCAGGTGCCTATAGCCACGTCAAATGGACTGATTGATACTTGTTAACAGTAGGTTGCCTATGGCCAGTACTGTAGGCTCAGGCCTTAGAAATGTGCCTTGAGGGCAGCTGGGTGACTCAGTCGATTGATTGAGTGTCCAACTCTTGATTTCAGCTCAGGTCATGATCTCACAGTTCCGGGAGTTCAAGCCCCATGTTGGGCTCAGCATTGACAGTGCAGAACCTGCTCCATATTCATTCATTCATTCATTCATTCTGTAAATAAACAAACTTAAAAAAAAAAAAAAATGTGCCTTGGATTACCTTTGGAGAATTGGACTTAGTTCTTTCTGGGGATGTCCTGTGTTTATACAGAACAGTCTTGCAGCCCACAGTTGCATTCTTCCAATGTGGAGTGACAGGAGCCTAGGACAAGCTCTGGAACTCCTAGCCCTGGAATGGGACCCATGAGGCCTCTTCTGCTGGCATATCCCTGCAAAAGGAACCCAGATCACATTTCCTTGGCAGGTGCTGAGCCCAAGTCTTTAGCTTGCCCCAGGGTGGTCCAGGGCCCTCTGTCTTGGGTCGTGTGCTTGGTAAATGGGAGTGCAGTGCCAGGCACACTGCATTATCCAACTTAATTCTCACAGCAGCCCTATAGCTTCCAGGGGTGCCAACCACGTGGTCCTACAACTCTAATTCTGCCTGGAAGGGAATTCTAATTCTGTCCACCCCTTTAAAATCTTGTTATTGTTGGGGCACCTAGGTGGCTCAGTTGGTTAAGCAATCAATTCTTGATTTCGGCTCAGGTCCTGATCCCACAGTCATGAGATCGAACCCCACAACGGGTTCTGTGCTGAACTTGGAGTCTGCTTGGAATTCTCCCTCTCCTTCTGTTCCTCTTCCTCTCTCCTTGCTTGCACACACTCTCTTTCTCTCAAAAAATTAAAAAAAATAAATCTTGTTGTTATTAGTAGTCATAAAAGAATACCTAAGTATTAAAGCATAACAAAGTGAACACCGAAACCTGCTGTCCTTATTACAGATGAAGAAACGGGTTTAGGCCCAGCAAGTGACTTCACTAAGGTCACAAAGCCTAGAAGGTGACAAAACTCAGGTTTTAACTCAGGTCTCTTCAGCTCCTCCCTGTGGCATTTCTGTAGGCCTGCAGATATTAATAGGTGTTATTTGAGAGAAGGTTCTTGGTCAGTGCTCAGTTAAACAAAGTCAGCAGATTCTTTTGCTGTAGTAATTCTCAGATTCTTTAACATACTAAACTCTTCAATATTTTTCAAACTGATTTGACTGTGGATGTTTGTCCATAGTCTCTCCTAGGACTGGTGTTCACAAAAAAAAAAAAACCCTCAAAACCTCTGGCCTAGGAGGAGCTTGGAGGGGAAATATTTAAGATAAAGATTCTGTGTCTCTTCCCAGCATGGCCTCAAATCAGAGGGCTTTCCCTCTTCTTCTTCTTCTTTTTTTTTTTTTTTTTTTTTTTTTTTTTTTTTTTTGTCTTCTAGTTCTTGCCCACATTGCGGCAGTCTGGCCATTTTGAGGAGTTCTTTCCTGGCCTGCAGTGTTTCTGACAGCTATACAGGTGTCTTTATAGCTGCCCTTAAGAGAGCTGGTTACAACCATGGAGAGGAAAATTTGTGGTCTGGGGGGTCCAGGGGGATGCTGAGCAAGAGCAGGCTAAGAAGGTGTTCACCTCCCACTAGGCCTGTGCCTGAGCATGTGTCTGGCTGTGTAGAGCTGCCTCAGCTCGGCAGACGAACTTGGGGTGGGAGTGCCTCTGGGTGAGGGCATGTGAGGAGGCTCAGGATGCTGAGTTTGCTTCCAGGGTTTCAAATCGGAAAGATGTTAGCTGTGAAGAGGACAGTCATCTACCCACATTCATTGGTCTAAGCAGTTTTAAAAATTGTGTAACTTGGTGAAAATAAATAGATATTTGAGTGTGATGGGAATTCTTAAAATATCCCAAACACAGCTGTCTTCAAGATTTTGGATCCCCCCAAATGGAGGTTTTTGAAAGCTTGTTTTCAAGTACACAAATTCTCTTTTTGAACATTGCAGCCTTAGTTCTCTTTGGTGACTCAGGGCTGTCAGTGTCTTCCTTGGCTTCCTCTTCATGCCTAAAGGTAGGGGGAAGGGAGGGAAGAAGCGGAGGAGATGCACTTTGTCTTTTCACCAAGGTCTGGCCTGAGTCACTCTCGCTGCCTCCGAAGTGACTAAAGGTGTACCGTCTTGGGGGTCCTTTAAAAGAAGGGCTCCTGGCTTGTGTGGGGAGATTCCTGCGCTGGTGTCTGCCTCAAAGCCTGCCTTTGCCTCATCCCAGGTTTTGTTCTTGAGTGGATCATGCTAGAGCCTATGAGGTTATTTCCCTTTCCATGTAGATCCTTGAACCTCTCAAAATAATAGGGTAGAGGTGTCTATTAAGACCTGGACCATATTTCTGTCTCTTTACCTTGTAGGAACTTTGGTTGTCTGTTCACTTTCCAAGCTCATATGCTCTGTGTTTATTTTCAGTGGATATGCTGCTGATGAAATCACTCACTGCATACGGCCTCAGGACATCAAGGAGCGCAGAGCGGTCATCATCCTCAGGAAGTAAGTGTCCCGTTGTCTGGCACCTGCAGGCCTGTCTGGAGATGTAGGTCTGGTTTCCCTTAGAACTTGGCTTCTCTTTATCAGTAGCATGGCAGCATGAAGCCTGGGAGAGGAAAAGGCTATAAGGTTTCATACTTTTTTAATTCCGTGAGGAAAAAGCTGTTTTGTTTTTTTTCATTGGAAAATTAAGCTCTGTGGCTGCTTAACTTGGGAGTCGGGGATTGAGCAAAAGCACATGCTCCCAGTGTTTATAGGCATAGTCTTATTTGGGGACCCCTCTTCCAGACCTTCCCTCCGCCTCTTTTTTCCCCATCTCCTTGGTTCTGATTTGTCACATGTGCTCTTGCTGGTTATTTTTAGACTGCGCCTTAGCAGCCTGATTTAAAAATGCCTGGGTTTTCACTTCTAGGAGGAGCAGGGAGTGAGAAGAGAAAACAAAGGTGGGGCATTAGGCTGTAGTGTTCAGCCTTCACATAGCTTGTGACTGTCCCTCCTCTCTGGCCAGGGAGTCAGGGATGTACTGACCTGGCCTCTTCAGTGCTTCTTTTTCTCTGCTCGTGAGGTATGGGAATGGACTGAGCTAAGCAGATGCTGGGTCAAGACAAGTCTGTCTTTAGAGCGGGGTCCTGAGAGACTAGATGATTGTCCAGGGTTGTACAGACATCAGTGAGGAAAGCAGCACCAATGCTTGCCCCCCCCCCCCCCAAGCTGGAACACGATGTCTTATAGCTTACTGTCTTTTTTTTAAGTACAATTTTTTAGAATAGCTTTAGATTTACAGAAAATTGTAAAGGTAGTAGAGTCTCTTTGCGAGTCTCCTCATACTACTGTTTCTGTCGTTACCATCTTACATTAGTATGATATGTTCATTGCAGTCAAAAAAGCAGTATTGATACTTTAATAAAATCCTACTTTATTGAGATTTCCTTAGTTTTTTCGTAGTATAACTTTTCTGTTCCAGGGTGCCACATTACGTTTAGTTGTCATGTCACCTTAGGCTCCTCTTGGCTATGACTGTTTCTTAAACTTATTCGTGATAACAGACTGGCCAGGTATTTTGTAGAATATCTCTCAATTAGAATTTAACCATTTTCTCATGGTTAGATTGGGGTTAGGGTTTTGGGGGAGGGAATCTACAGAGGTAAAGCCCCGTTCTCTTCATGTTCTATCGAGGGCATAGGACTTAATCGCTGTTGATGTTGACCTCGCACATCTGGCTGAGGCTGTGTTCGCCGATTCTCTGCACTCTAAAGTCAGTATTTCCCCTGTCTCAGGAGGGAAGTCGCCACCTGCAGCCCATGAATAAGGAGTGAGGAGTTAGCTCCACCTCCCTTGGGGGGGAATCGCTACACAAGTTATTTGGAATTCTTCTGCAGGAAGGTTTTGTTTCTTCTCTCTCATTTGTATATTTCTTTTTTTCTTTATTTGTTTACTTATACCCATATGGATTTACGGGTATTTGTTTTATGCTCAAATTAGTCCAGCTTGGGGCTTAGGAGTTGTGTTCCTTTTTTTTTTTTTTTTTTTTTTTTTTTTTTTTTTTGAGTTTATTTATTTTGAGAGAGCACACGCACAAGCACGGGAGGGGCAGAGAGAAGGAGAGACAGAATCCCAAGTAGACTCCACTCCATCAGTACAGAGCCTGATGTATGGGTAGAACTCATGAACTCATGACCTGAGCTGAGATAGTTTTAACTTCAGTCTATAACTTGAGCATCTTGGCCTTTTGGGTTCAGAACTCCAGAATAATGTGGTGATGAAGTCTCTTTGGCATGGCTCTGCCATTTTGTCAAGTCAAAACTGACAAGCCTATGGTGCCTGCAGAGCACCAGGCACATGTGACAGCTCCAGACATGGGTCTGTTTGGGAGCTGGCAGCATCTCCCCTCTAGCCTAAGAATATTCCGGGAATTCATTAGAAAAAGGGTTTTTATCTGCCTTTTTGCTTTCTTTTCCTGTGGTTCCCAGCATAGGCCAAAACCCAGAACACAGAAGTGATGGAGCCCAGAGTGTAGCTCCCTTCTGGCCTCTTCTATGCATTCATTTCTTCTTAGGCTGGGACAAGTGATCCACCTAGGCCAGGCACTTGGAGAGGAACTCCCAGAGTGATGTAAAACCAGAGCAGCAACTTGCCAGGTGCTCCTCCAAGCCTCATAGTAGCTTATCCCCAGGAAATCTTCACCAGAGGTGCACATGGAAGTAGCCATAGCTGGAGGTCATTCTTCCAGCTGTTTCTTTCCTTTTGAATGATGGCTTCCATGCTTGACTTCCCAGGCTGCCGTCCCAGGTTGGCTGAGTCAGATGTGTCTCAGGGGAGCTAGGGAGCCTACGGAGTTAACAGGTCCTCCTGGAAGCTCTTTGGCCAGTGGGGCCCCTGGCAGTGGTCTGACCTTGGAGAATGACTGTTGTGGGTGACTGGTACACTTTGACCTTTTGACTTGAATGGGCCCAGGAGTCCGCCATAGACTGGGCTAGAGAGCAGAAGCACAGAGCTTTGGTATGAGGGGGCTGGAGAGGAGTGGGAGGGTAGCCCCCAGCTCCCCCAGGGCAGCTGAGCTAGAGTAGTGCCCAACTTTAGGGAGCCAACTCAGGTGACCAGATGAGAGGCCCAGGGTAAAATCCTTGTTGGGCTTTGCCTATCCACCCAGCCTAATTTCTTGGAGTTTTCGCGTATGTTAACGTACTTGCAGTTCTTAGTATGGCCCACGGACTTACATCCTGGGCTCTTGCAGCAGTTTGATCCCATCTAACATGTTCATCTATCGTCCTCCTCCTACCCTGCAAATGACCCATGTGCATATGCTTAAAAGTTGGTTAACCTAGCCATCTTTCGAGGCTCAGGTATTAACTGTTTTGACATGCAGGAAGCCTCATACACATACCTGTAGCTCTCTCAGTGCACCTCCCCGCCGCTGTAGACTGTTATAGCCCATATGCTTGCTGTTGTGATTTTCCAAAATCTGCGTTCTGTGTGGGTCGGAGATCCCTGTCATCCGGGCCCAGCATTGAGGCCTGGCCCAGAGGAAGTATCAGAGGAGGACAATTCAGGTGAATGAGGAGCAGCTCCAGAGTAGCTGTATAGGCTTGTCTTGGAAAAGGACAAGTAGGTGACAAGATGAAAAGGGGAGCATCCTGGCCCTGCTTCTCGGAAGCACGGGGGATGGAGCCAGTCCTGCCTTCTCTTCAGTTTGGATAACAATTGCACAGGCTGTTGTGGGAGAGCCTGGTGGGGGGGGGCTCTGTCACCAGCTCAGGTGAGTCAGAGCTGGGACAGTCCTTTTAAAGGCCTCATGGTAGGAAATGGGTAGTTGGCCACCAGGTGCTTTTTGGTTCAACAAAATGCAGCACCTTTGAATGGGATTGGTGCCAAGTCTTTATGTGAGTGGTACTGTCGTTTCTCACGGGGAGGACTGGGAGGCTGGGAGTGACCACCTGAGAGCTTCCACATGAGTGGAATCCATGGGCTGCAGCTTAGTGTTATAGTCTGTTGGGGTCACAACCATAAATGGCTGAGTAAGGCCTTGAACTTGGGTCTGCTGATATATAATAGGCTGGCATTTTGCATGCCATTACACCACAAGCAAAGTAAGCATGGTCTTAAAAGCACAAAGTAGGTCTGCTGGGACCCAGCAAAAAAAAAAAAAAAAAAAAAAAAAATTTTTTTTTTAATTAAAAAATTAAATCCAGCTTAGTGGGATGCGAGGGTGGGTTGGGACAGGATTGGTAGATCTGGCTCCTAAGCTAGAAATTGCTGGGCAGGCAAAAACGGCTAGAAGGCAGGAAGTGTATAGAGGCTCTCTGTAGTTGAGGGGTAGTGTGGGAAGGAGTTCTTAGATAACTCTTGATCATCAGGAGATGGCTTGTGGGCCTTCATGGCTTTCCACTTGGTGGCCAGGGCACCCAGTCCCTTGGTCTACAGAAGGTACCCACAGCTGTCCCAAATCTGCCTACAAGACTTGTATTCCTGCATGGTTCTCCAGTCAATCAGATAAAGTGGCTCAAGACTGTAAATAACCCACTTCTTTGCTTTTGGTCAAGTGAGCTCGGCTCAGAGTGGGTTGAAGCTGGGAAGAACATCTAGAGGTTTATTTGCCAAATGTTAACCAAGGTTGGTGTGTGCCAGTAAGCAGTGGAGTGTGGGGTTTGCATGAGAGAGACTGTTTGTAGGAGGTTGAGTGAGCTAAACGGTTTATTTGGTCATTCAGGCCAAGGGGTCCAGGGGTCAGGGGGAGACTGTCCCGGAAAACAGAGTGGTCCAAATGTGAGATTCTGTGTGTGTGAGTGGAGGGTGAGAATGGAGGGTTCGTTCTGGGCTTTGTCCCTCTGGGCATGGGGAGGGGTGGCTAGCTCTAGGTTTCCCTGACTAGGCCTGGGACATTGCCCCCACCAAGACCCAAGCCGTGGCTTCTATCTCCATGATTCATGTCCCCTGGTCCAAGGGTTAACCCACTTTTGTTTCCTGGTCCAGTGAGTGTGTGTGTGTCTATGTGTGTATATCCTGCACAAGGAACAGTGGGGAGGGGGAGAGGGGGCGCTAAGACCACCTGGGCATGAAACTGGCTTAGGCTCCTGGCCTGGCTCTACCCCTTCCTCACTGAATACAGGTTGGTTATCTGAGTTCTGTGTTCTCACCTGTAAATTGGGGCAGCAGTGGTGCTAGGGATGGTTAAATTCAAGAATGCTGTGTCTGCTTCTTCTAGCCCCTTTCTCACCATACTTCCCCTCTGATTCTGATGAAGCAAGGGTAGGGGATGAAGAAGACTGTTTATTCGAAGTAAGGTGTGAGCAGAGGCCCAGAGAGTGGGAGGAGAGGGAAACCTGGAAATACGTCATTCACTGGCCCAGGCTGGGAAAGCAAGCTTGTTGTCTGGCTATCTGGTGTCCTAGAGGATGATATCAAGGCTTACCAGGCTTGAACAAGGGGATTCCTAGTCACCCATGATGCTGGCCCCTTTGTCTGTCTGTCATCTGGGGGGCCCTGGCTCCTGGAGCTCTGGGTTGCAAGTATGTGGTGTGACATGTTGGTCATTAGACTGAATGATTTGGAGAGGTCTTTGGGACCTGGTTATCTTGCAGGCCTGGTTATGGAACCCCTTTCTTCAGGATATACGCCTCATGTGCCTTTTAGGCCCTCCTGACCATAGCAGGCTTCTACACCTGTCTCAGAGCTGCTTTGTGGGGAGTGAAGTGTGATGTTGGAGGGAGGTTGGTGGAAGATGGAGGGTGGGCACTGTTGCCAGAGAGACAATGGTACAGGTTGGGGTTGTGTGGGAATCTGATTCTCAGAGGTGCTAGAGCTTAGACCTAGAGGCCCCCGATCACTTAGTAGACAAGGGGGCACTCAGGCCTGCTGCCTGCCTCTTCACTCCCATGGGAAAGTCCCACTTTGTACAAAGCACAGGGGTGCTTGGCGTGAGGGTGGAGCCAGAAGTTGTGGGATGGTTGGCATCCAGGCCTGAGGTGCAGACTGGTTGCTCTTCTCCCAGAAATGGTGGTCAGCCTGGCCAGCTCTCTGCTCTCTGCCGTAGTACAGAGAGCCCACCTGGGCTTCAGAGGCCATAATGGGATGGTAGCTGTGTGACTTAGGCCAGTGATTTGGTCTCTGATTTAGCATTGCTTCCCCATCCCCACAGTGGAAATAATCCTCCTCAGTGGCTTCTCTGGAGTATTCATTCAGTGATTGATAAAGGAATAGGAGGGGAGCTCCTGGGACAGTCAACTCCCTCCTTCCCTTTAGGTCACGTGTTAATGTGTTAACATTAATGCTGTCATCCTCCCTTTGTTTTGGCTTTATCTGTACCTGGACCCAATCCCTGTTTTGTCCTGAGGGCTGTCCCGACACGTGGGTGACCTCACTTACCTGGGGTGCCTTGCTGTAACTGTAACCCCTGGATATCGACTCAGATCTACAAGGCAAGTCTCTATTCCTCTTGCCACCTGAGGAGGCCCAGGCCTAGCCCTTACTGCTAGAATTGGCCTTCCTGACTTCAAGTTTATGGATCTGTTTGCTGAATCCTGAGGGACCTAGGGTGCTTCTTGGAAGTTAGCTGCCTTTTAAGAGGGATGTGCTCAGAAATGAAGCTACCAGTGGGCTCTGCATTTGGGATCTTATTCTATCCTGGCTTCCTGCAGGATGGTAGCTCTTTGGGAGTGGAGGGAGGGCAAGAACTTCTCCAGCTGTTCTGAAATGTACTTGTAACAGCCCCAGGGGATGTGTCAGGAGCACTTTAGGGCCCCAGACACTTTTATGTCCCCAGGTGGGTCCAGGAGGCAAGGTTTTTGGTAGGGTCACCTTTTACTAACCCTTCTTCGAGGGTGCCTCCTGACGGCAGCGGAACTATCATGTACAAGGAACAACTCTCTTCCCCTCCTTCAGGCAGTTAGAAGCAGAGCCGGTCCATGTCCTTGGCCTTTCTAGTCTCATCTGGTCCCACCTGTCTCCCTAGCCTCTCCAGTGGTCCTGCAGCCATGGTGAGAGGCCACCACCACTGTCCCTGGCTGTGCAGACAGGCCGCCCAAGAAGGCAGCTCAGGAAGGGTGGAGGCCCCTTCAGGGACCGGTGTGTGCCAGCTGTGCCTGTGTGGCAGGATGTGCTCGTGTTTTCCAACCTCAGAGGTGTGCAGGCCAGGCTCTCTTTGGTGGCCCTGCTCTTGGTTTCCTTGCCATCCCTCACTTACCTGAGGAAACAACTGCAGGGTGCTAAAACTTGCCCACCAGAGCTTTGTTGGGGCTTTTTCATCCTGCAGGGGTTTTCCTGTCCTGAGCATGTGCTCCTGGTACCTGAGGGGTCTTAGTGTTGGAAGTAGCTCCACAGGGCCTGAGGGGGACTTTACTCCATAAAGCTTCACATGCTTAGAATACTCTAAGCCAAGTTTAATGGCCAGTGTCTCATTTGGGCTGATCTCTGCCACCTGGACCTCTCAGCGGGGAGGGTTGAGGTGGGGGCAGGGGGAAGGTGGGGGGAGGCCTGACCTGGTAAAGAAGAGGTCCTTGGGGACTCTGGTGATTTTAATTCCCACCCTCATGTCTGGGTGTTGCCTAGCACCACCTCTTCCTGGTACTCCTCTCAAGAATCTTAGCCTTGAAGGAGGCCACTTGGTTTCTAGAGCCTTAAGAACGGAAAGAGTTCCTAGGGCCAGCCGCATTTCTCCCTCTTTTGCTTAGATGGAGAAGTAGGCCCAGAAAGGGGTGACTACTAGCCTGGATTCTAAGAGGCACCATTAGTGCTGCATCTTCTTCCTTTTGTTTCTAGGTAGGTCCTGCTTCCCTGAGCCTGGAGTGCCCAGAGTGGAGGCTGAGACTGGTGAGCCTGTCAGTACAGATGGACCACTCTGGCTTCCCAGTCCATGAGGCCAAAGCAAAGGGGCAGGGAAAGTAGTCCTGCCTGCCTACCACTTTGGGCCTAAGGGTGTTAGAACATTGGTTCCCAGCTAGAAGGCGCCCCCTGCTGGCCTCAAGAGAAAGACCCCTGCCTAGGGTCAAAGCCCTATGGTTCGGGCTTGTCAGGCTTGGCGTCTCACCTGGGCTTAAACCTTTTCCCCATGATTTCCAGGACCTGTGACTCATCACCTTTCCGACCTAGTTTTCCTCATCTATTTACAGCAGGCCAGCCAGTGGGAGTAGGTAGGGGGACCTGTGGGGTTTGGGTACAATTGTTACCAAGAACACCATGTGGCTTAGGCCAGGGCAGCTCTTGGATTTCCCTCCTGCTGTCTTGCCTGCAGTGTTATTGTGAGGATGCTCTGCCCTGACCACAGCACGTTCCTCAGAACCAGGTGACTACGTTGTGCACAGCTGCCTCTGGGAATGGTGCCTCAGGGCCTTCTACCACATGTGTCCCCATCACTCCCTACCCCAGGCTTCCTCCTGTCCCTTGCTGCCACCAGCCTGACTTGCCAGCCTTCTCTGTATCAGCCAAGAAGCCTCAGGGCTTCTTTGAAGTTTCCCAGGCTAGCTTCCTCCTAGCGTGGCTTCGTAAAGGACTCAGATCACTGCCCTGGACTACCTCCCTGCCCACCTTCTCCATCTCCTTCTTCCCCATATCTCTCTTCCTCATCTCTCTCCCCCATCACTGTCTTCCCCATCCATACGTGCATGTTCTCCTTGTATTGGACAGTGTGTTTCTTGAAACTCACACTCTGTGCTAGGTGGGGACTTTGCCTTCAAAAGCCCCCTGGCCTTGGATTGGTCAGCATCCTGTAACCAGCAAAAGCTGCCAGGTGGCTGTGGTAGGACCAGAGCCAAGTGTGTGAATGTTAAGTTGGGCCTGGGCTCTCTTGGCTCTGCCACAGTCTTCGTGTTCCTGTGTGAGAGTGTAGGAGAGTCTCTTTTTCCTTCCATAGGCTCAGACCAGGGGAACTTTCCTTCCTGTCTTGGTATTTCCGGGAAGGATGAAGACATCTGCTAGAGTATTTTAGGGTCCTCAGTACTCTGGCAGGTGGAGTAGATGCCCCTAGAGAACCCTCTGGGCCTGAGTAGGGTGAGCGGGGCTGCCTTGTCCATCTGAGAGAGAGCCCTGGATCTTTCCCCTGGGGCAGCAGATCCCTATCATTAGAGGTTTCCACATAAAAGTGTTCCTGTCCTATTCCTAAGCCCGAACTTAAGATGGAGGGTCTTTGCAAGTCAGCCAGACCTAGTTGAACCACGAGGAGACAGAGGCACAGAGTAGAGACTGCTGGCACTCCCCTCTCTCTGGCCGGAGAGAGAATTGGTTTGATGGGGCCCATACCCTCCCCAGAGGCCCACTGATAACCCCATGCGTGTTTCCTTTGCAGGACGAGATTAGACGCACCCCGGTTGGAAACAAAGTCCCTGAGCAGCTCCGTGTTACCACCCAGCTATGCTTCAGATCGTCTATCAGGAAATAACAGAGACCTTGCTCTGAAGCCTAAGCGGTCCCATCGCAAGGCAGATCCCGATGCTGCCCACAGGTACTCAGCCTAAAACTTTCCACAAAGGCCAGCAAAGCAGCCCCCTGGCCTGGCTGCAGAGTGAGATGGGTGGGGAAGCCTGGGTCAGCTGCTTAGGAGTCTGGCATTGTTCACCTTTCTGAGATTTATGTCTGCCTCCTCTAGGTCAGTGGCATTGGTGGCATTCCCACCTAACCTGTGACCAACTACGTGTACCCCACGGAGAGAAGGGATTGAGCCGAGATTCTGAGAAGTGGGAATGCTTCGTGGCCTTCCCATGACTTCCCTTATTCAGTCTGCCCAAATGCTTTTGTGGTTGTATTTAAATGTTAGAAGGAAAGCTTGGGACTTGAAAGATAGTAGACCAGGGACAGGGACCCATTTCAGAACGATTCAGGAAGGTTTCTGGGGAAGTGTTTGAGATGAGAAGAATGAGAAAGCCGTGTGCAAAGGCCGGTCTAGACCAGAAGTACTGGGCTGAAACGGTGAGGCAGAAGGAGCTTGTTGGTTTCAGGGCCTAGTGGAGTCAGTGAGCAGAGTAGGGGTGGGCAGGAGCTACGTGGTGATGCAAACGGGGACTGAGAAGTGGAGGTGATGGCAGGACTGTGCAGGGTCTAAGAGGCTGTGGTAGGGAAGGCCGCCACCTCTCTGGCGTCTGGCGTCTCAGCCATGGTGGTGTCCTAGGGTACTGGACAGAGGCCCCACGGGGTGATTGAAGGTGTTTCAAAGACTAGGTGTGGCCACTGCACTTCTTGGGCACAGAGACAGTGCCAGTACTTCTGCCAGTACTTCTGCCAGTACTGCCCCTCACACAGAACCACCCAGCTGGGTGAGCCGTCCCACAGATGGTGAGGGCTCCACCCAGACACAGAGGTGGGTGTGAGGTAACGCTTGCATCCACCCCTTTCCTCGCAGGCCTCGGATCCTGGAAATGGACAAGGAAGAGAACCGGCGCTCGGTGCTGCTGCCCACACACCGTCGGAGGAGTAGCTTCAGCTCTGAGAACTACTGGCGCAAGTCCTATGAGTCTGGGGAGGACTGCTCGGAGGCAGCAGGCAGCCCCGCCCGAAAGGTGAAGATGCGGAGGCACTGAAGCCTGCCGCGCCCTCCTGGGAACTCTGGTTGATCCTCACGTAGCTGCCCTCTCCTTTTGTTTCGTTTCGGTTTTTTCGTTTTTGTTTTTATTTTTCATTTTTTGTTTTTTGATCCTTACATTTTTTTCCTTGGGTTTGCTGCCTGTTAAGGCTGAAGAACAGAATTGGTTGGGACCTGATTCTCATGTTCTTGGTTTTCTTCCAAAATGGAAAGGCTGTTGGCATCTGTAGAGGACAGAAGCTCACGCCGGAGTGGCCAGTAGAGGTGTGAGGGGCAGCTGTCCTCAAGTGGGGCTGTGTCAGGCTGGGTTTATTTAAAAACAACAAAACGTTTTGGTTAAGAAAATTCTTGTTTTGCTTTAAATGTAAATCTTCTCAGTGTTGTAAATGAAATTCAGTCTTCTGCCCCTTCTCCTCCCACTGATGTCTGCGTGCTGGGTTGAGGTCTCGTGCTCCTTGCTGGTTCTGCGGGAGGCCTGCTGTCCTCCCACCTCTCACCCGCTCTCCAGGCCCTGGAAGCTCACGCAAACCCCCTCTTCCTCCTGCGGCAGAGTTGTTCAGAATGACTGGGTGGAGGTTTCAGCAGTCATGTGCCACCCCAAAGTTATTGGCTGAGACCCCGGGCTTCCTCCACGCCCACTGGCCTGCTCTGCCCACAGGTCCCTGGGCTGCCGAGGGGCTGGCTACAGCGGTCCTGACCTTTCTTGCTGAGGGCACGCCTCTTTGGTGGGTTGCTCCTTTCAAGCATATGCGTGTGATTGTACGGAACAGTTAGACTTCCCATGTCGGGGCAGTTTTAGGAATTGTTTCTAGCTAGAGGGACTGGTGTCCTTCCAAGTCTAGCATTTGGGGTATGGAAAATTGTTGTGGTGTGTGGTAGGGTTTTTGTTTTCTTTTGTTTTTGAGTTTTTATTTTTTCCTTTGGTCTCCTGGCTTTTTCCTAACCCTTTCCATTCTCCTACATTGGCCAGCTTGGGCCTTCTCTCCGTGTCATCCCCATAGGAAGGCGCC